TTTTTAACAATTATCTTTGTTTAAAAGTTTTTATGACCATCCTGCTGTACTACTGAGGATCGCAAATTAATAAAAAATAATAATATGATTATTATTAACAACAACAACAACAACAATAATAATAATAGTATAATAATAAGAAGAATCTATGATTATTATTAACAATACAGTAATGATAATAATGTATTGTTATTATTATTATTATTATTATTATTGACAACATAGGTCAGTCTTCAGTTCACTGTCATGTGTTGTTGGTGTTGGCCGTGTAATTATACAGGTGAACAGTAAGACAGATGTACACAGTTGTTAGTCCCTCAGAGGATGTATCCATTTTAATGTGTTTTAACAAAACATAAACGAGGGATTTTGAACGCAGCATTTTTAGACAAAACAGCTTAAATCCAGTGGCTCTCCAGTTTCTTTATATGGGACTTTAAAGATAGAGTCAAAAACTACAATCCAATTTCAGAGTTTGTCTGAGGACACGGGTCCTCGGGTCATTTTCATTATCTGAATGAGTTCTAGTCGTGTCTCATCTTACAAAATAGGTTTTATCTCTCTCCAGGTTTTCTACAGTTCTTCTTGCCATTCCAAACCAGGATATGTCATTTATTAGTGTCTTGGCAGTTCTTCCAGAGCCGTGAGACACAACTCTCTCTAGTTTTTAGTCATGTGCTTTGAAAAACTTCCATTTTTCTCCTGCCAGCGTTGCTCCGTGCCAGGTGGATCGCTGTCAACTCCTTGATAATGATTCTCACCCCAGTTTTGGACATTTGTAAATGTTTTTATAACTAAGCATATCTTCATGACGTCAGTGTTTGGCTTTCTTTTTTTTTCAAGTGTAAACAAAGATCTTCTGTATTTCCAATTGCTTTCAGAGGTTTTCAGACGAAGGTTTGAACTGAGTTCTCTTTTGGTTCAAGTTCAATTTAAAGATACAAGAGACCATGATGATCTATGTTAGATATAAAGATAGGTAGGTAGATAGATAGGAAAAAAGTCAGTGAATGACAAGCTGGGTCTATTTTCTGTGTCTCTTTTTCAGGCTTTTAATGAGAACCCACTGGGGTGACTGTAGGCACAGGCCTGGGATCAGTTTACCTCGATCTCAGACTCGAACTTTTAATGTCTGTAAAACTGTATTTTAAATATAGGTTCGATTTTAGGTGGATGCAAAACAGCCTCGGAGTTACCGTGGCTTTCTCCAGTCTGAACAAACCGTCTGCTCTTTGAACTAGGCTTCATTTACTCTTCCAATTTCCAAGAGACGGAGCAGGCTTCTTGCTGCAGTTCACCATGTGCTTTGTGTATAACTAATGTTGGGGTGCCTAAAAGTGCATCAGAAGTCTGTTTACAGCAGATCATATTTAGTCACGTAGGAAAAGTAAGTATGTGACCTTCCAGGTACGGTTCAGCCCGCTGACCCACCGCTCACCTAAAAGGAGTCCAGTTGCAGGTTAACAGGGGGCTCCAGCTCTTAAATGAGACCTGAATAGAACCAAATCTGTGGAAAAGGGTTAAGGGCTTTGGAAGTTAAGCCTTGTAAAAGTAGGTCAAATCACAGTTAGGGCCTGATATCAAAATGGATTTTTTATTTTCTAACCTGTTTAGATCAAGTTTCTACATGAACTAATTTAAATTAATTAAATCAAGAGGAACATCCTTAGGCCGTGGTTTCCAACCTTTTTTGGCTTGAGACCCCGTTATGACATCACAAATTTCTGGCGACCCCAGAGACAATGCTTAAAAATAATGTTTATTAGTATTTTTTTTAATATAAATTATTAGATATTTCAGGTGCCCCCATTTTGTTGAAGCTACCAATGGTCACAACCCCAAGGTTGAAAAACCCCATGCTAATATGAGCTAACGTTTAAAAAAAACCCCACTGCTACTGTAACATGGCCTGACAAATACAGTGCAAAGCGCCAGTGTTTTGTGGAGCTGTACACCTCAGACAATGATGTGGCAAATTGTAAACAACAACACATTTCGAATTTGGGATTTTTAAACTAAACACCTCACTCTCCTCCTCCTCCTCCTCCTCCTCCTCATCATCATCATCATTGTCCAACCATCAGCTTCAACACCGTGTCTTACTGGGGTTTATCTAACAGCTGTCAGTCCTTGGGTTGTCTTTCTGTCCCCCACTAGGTCGAATTTCCATCAGTAAACAATTCCACCCACGAAACCCCACTGGGAGGAAAGAAAGTAACGGTCATGTGGCTGAACATGCACTAAACACATGTACTATGTGTCCTACGAATACGTGAAATTATGAAAAATATTAAGATATTATTTTGAAATTTTTTCTGCTTTTGTCAATACTTGTTTTTAACTTTTTTTTTTTTTGGCCAATCTTTTTGCCAATCTTCTTGACTCCAGTTACCGGATGAGCCACATAATGATATCACAGCACAATTTTAGCCACAGTAGGGATTCATTACTTACTATGAATCACACTATGAAAACAATTACAGTAGCAACACAATCTAGGAGCTGATTTGAAGCCGCATCACATTTTTCATTCACTTGTTCGTCATTTGTGCTCGTGTTTATTTTTTACAAGAAAAGACAAAAATAAACGAAGTGAAGCGAAACCTTTTCGCCAAAATGTTCATGTCTTCTTTGAAACAATCCTGGCACGAGCAGAGCCGTAAACCGTGATGGCTGGTTTAATTCTCAGCAAATAAACTACAGCTGTGTTTTCAATGTGAATGCACTTTATTCTGTTTAAAACTGGGACTACGTTAAGTCTACGGGAAGAGAAGAGAAGAGAGCAGTGAAAAAAAATGAATCCGCCAGCGTCGAGTACTACAGTTGTACTACGTTTTAGCAGTACATAAAACCAAACTGTGCGTATACTAATATAACGGGGAGTAAAAACCAAAAGTTCCAAAAACATTTTTCTTACATTTGTAATTAGATTGCAGACTCTCTCTTTTTTTCAACTTCCTCCAAAGGAAGAAAAAGAAGGTGAAGTCTGAGAAGGGAGCCAGAGCAGCAGAGCAGGAGGAGGCAGATTTGGTTTCACCCCTGGGCCTGCTTCTCACACCGGTGTCTACCATATTTCATCAAGTGGTATAAGCTTGCAGGCCGAGCCCATAGTATTTCAGCAGCTCTGCTGCTAATGATGGAAAATGAACGCTCCAGTGAACAGAGATAAATGCCCCGCACTGACAACATTTCCAAACTATTTACAAAGAGCAGAATAAGGCAGAGGGATCACTCCGGATGTGTTTCTGTTGAACGGAGCCTAATGAGGAAAACCTGTCAGACACAATCTTATAATGATTACCCTGAAGGGCAAAAGATGAAACAGAGCAGAAACAAAGTGCTAAAAGGATGACCAAAAAAAAAAAAATCCTCAGCGTTTTTTTTATAAGAAAATGAGAAATCACGGTTCTCTTTTGCATCAACTGCAGCAGGACAGAGAATGTTGATCAGATAAAGCTCAGCATCTTGAATGGACAAGTAGGGTTGTTGTTATTTTTTGGGGGGGGGGTAGGAGGGGGGGTTTACGTACAGCTTTCAGACTCCACCCAGTGTTACTCCAAGAAAACCTCTGGTTCCAGTGAGGGTTGTCCACTGACAGAAGCTGCGTCCACACTGACTGCTGCTCCACAAGTGTCTTATGTCCACACTGTGCCACTTTTACGCGCAGCCAAAATGAGCGTGTCTCTGTCAAAGGTGCTCTTCCTGTGGCTGCTGACGATACCCTGCATGGAAGCCATTCACGGATTATACAATTTTGGCCAGCACGATTTGTTCTACAAGAAGAATAACTGCAAGCAAATCCCCGCCAACCTCCTCCTGTGCCATGACATCGAGTACACGGAGATGCGGCTGCCGAACCTGCTGGGACACGAAACCATGAACGAGGTTCTGCAGCAGGCTGCGTCCTGGATCCCGCTGGTGCAGAAGCAGTGTCACCCCGACACCAAGAAGTTCCTCTGCTCCCTCTTTGCCCCCGTGTGTCTGGACGACCTGGACGAGCCCATACAGCCGTGCAGGTCTCTGTGCGAAAGCGTCAAGGACGGCTGCGCGCCCGTCATGTCCGCGTTTGGATTCCCCTGGCCCAAGATGTTGGACTGCGACCGTTTCCCCTTAGACAACGACCTGTGCATACCTCCAGCGAGCTTGGAGAACTTTGTGCCAGCAACGAAAGAAGGTAAAAAAAAAGTTTTTTTGTTTTGTTTCTGTCGTCATGCTAACAAAATTTGCAACGAAAGAAGGTAAAAAAAAAGGTTTTTTTTCTGTTTCGTCATGCTAACAAAATTATAAGGTAGAAATGCATAGATTCATGCTGTATCAAAACATGCCAAAAATATTACTTAAACTTCCTTTAGGCCAAAGGAGCTCTTTTTTGTTTGTATTTGTTTTTGTGCAATAATCGAACATATTCACCCGACTTTATCTCTGATTGTTATCTTTTCGACCAATTCTCTTCAGTGCCCAGAGTGTGTGATGCCTGCAAGGAAACTGAGGAGAATGACAACGAAATTGTTGACAACCTTTGTAAGAATGACTTTGGTGAGTTCTCTCTCTCTGATTTAATTTTTTCATTTTTTCTAATGTTAAATCCAAGGCAGCCATGAAGGTCACGACGTGAACTTAGAGCCAGCAGACGATTCTGACATGAAATATACATCACACATGCATGAAACTGTGCTGGACTGATACCAGAACCGGAGGGTTCCGTCTTTACTTTCATGTGTTGAGACGAAGCATTTTCGAAGTAAATACAGATGGCTTCTATTACATGTCAAAGGGATGTTTCGTTCTACGCATGTCCGTCCTATTAAAAATCTTTACTCTCTTTTGATTGGCTGAAGCCCTGAAGATAAAAGTCAAGGAGATCTCCTACATCAATGGTGACACCAAGATAGTGCCGGAGACCAAGAGCAAGACCATCTACAAGATGAAGGGCGTGAGCGAGCACGACCTGAGGAAGACGGTGCTGTGGCTGAAGGATGGGCTGCAGTGCATCTGCGAGGAGATGAACGACATCAACGCCGCCTACCTGGTCATGGGCCAAAAGATGGACGGCCATCTGGTCATCACCTCACTGAAGCGCTGGCAGAAGGGACAGCGTGAGTTTAAGAGGATTTCTCGCAGCATCCGCAAAATGCAGTGTTAGAGAGGAAACAACCACGACCTGCATGAGTTACTGATGAGCTCTGTCCCAAACTCATTTAAGATCCATCTCTGAAGTCCAACAAAGGTGTTTCCGTGGCATTTGAGAACACAAAAAAATCCTAGAAGAATAACAATAACGCAAACGCACGGCTAGGTTTATAAAGTAACATGGATTTAATTTGGGAGTGGAGTAAAAAAAAAATGCCACAAATGTGAACTGTACCAGTGCATAATTGAAATAAAAAAAAAATGCCACAAATGTGAACTGCACCAGTGCATAATTGATTAGAGCCAAAACATTTTTAATCCAGATATTGGTTTCCGTCAATAATAATCTCAATTTATTTTATTCTGCTAGTTGAGAAAAAACAAAACTTTCAGAATTCTATTAGTAGATTTTACGTTGATGCCATCTAGAGTCGGCTTTCTCCAGTGACTGATATTCATTTTGCACAGAAGCTCCCAAAATGATGCACTCAGTGAACAAACACCCACGTTGACAAATGTTTGACATTTTCTCCGGGGACCATCTGTGCCGTTCGTCCTCTCTGCTAACTTCTCGCTCACAGAGACTGTTTATAAGAAATGGATGTGTTAAAACCAGGGATGTGAACACAGCACGCTGTTGGAAAAGGAGCAGAAATGAAATGACCTCATGTTAAAAATGAGGTCATTCCTCAGTTACTCAATAACAACGGTGTTAGACTTTGTCATTATAAACTGTTCAGCCTACATCAGGTTGTCTACACCCACTGCCATGCATTCTGTGGATTAACACCATAATCTAGCAACTGAGATCATATAGGACCATGGGTGTTTTTTCTCTTCTTTTTTTATTTTTCAAATTAAACAACACTGAGCAATATCCAAATACTACCATTTGTACTGTAACCTAAACAAAAACCAGCGTTCTTCCATTTCTTATATACAGTAAAGGTTTGCACCATTAGCATGAAATCTGATCAGACACGAGTTTAAGAATTAAAGTCATGGTGGGAATAATTACATAAAGTGTTCCTTCTACGGACAGGGTCGTATCACCTTTACGTTACCCTCCTGTTGATCTCACGTACCAGCTTTAATGATGCCAAATTCAGAGTGTAGTCAAACTCCAACAGATTATTTCACCAAATACTTCACCTCTGTGCTAGTATTTATATTCAGTAAAAGCATTGACAAAACAAACGTTGATAAGAACTCATTACTTTCCTGGTTTATGTTTCCTACTGAGTAAAACTGTAGGTAAACTCATGGTCATGTTTGTGGTGACAATCAGAGACTTTCTTTTTTTAAATTTTCCCCACTTTTCCCTCAAACAAAGAAATGAGAGATAGCTGGCTATGTTCTCGCCCCCTTCAACATTTTAATAAATCTTTTGTACTTGACCCACTGCACAGTTTTCTACCACAATATGAAAAAAATAATAATATTTTTCTACTGCTTAACTTCACATGACATGTTTAACCTGATTCGAGGTTTGTTTGGTTGGTTGGTTGGTTTGTGTAAAACATATGAGTTGTTTTTCAGATGATTATCTCGAGTTTCGATTGGTTGGTGTTGATTTGATGAGCGTTGTTTGGTAAGCTCAATAACCATGTGGTAGTGTGTGTGTTTGTGTGTGTAAATGTAAGCGCGTGCAATGTAAAATATCTTTTTGAAAGTATTACAGTGTAAATATCCAATATTAGCCTTTTTATCCTGGTTTGTTTTTAGATATTAAAAACTGTCTCCTGTTTTGAAATCACTCTTGAACATAGTGTTGATTGAAATAGCCACAAAATATACACTAATAAATAATGGAAAGTACATTAAATTCTGATGACTGTTCAATGGGGTATTCCTGTGTGAAAATGTTAAATGTTAAATCTATTGTTTTATACTGCCATCTTGTGGAAGTCAGCGGTAAAACAACAATTCTACAGGAGGCTGAAACAAACCCAGAAGTCTATTTTATATTATTTTTTAGTATCTTTATTTTCTCCTGAATAATAGAAGACTGTTAATTCTAAAAGGAAACTGCGAAATTGACACATTCGTATATATATGCGTTCATATATTGAACAATATATGGATAAAACTATGGATATAACAACAAATATAATATCAAAAATAAAGATACGTAGAAATGAAACTTGAACTTTTTGCACGGTTAAGCCAGCCAACGGAATGGAAAATCAAAGAACACACAATGTTGTTGACAAAATCGTGAGCTGGTGAGGCGTGAACGCGGGTTCGGTGCGTGAGAAGAGACGAGGCGCAGATTAGTCGGCGTGAAGACGTCAGTTTATTCAAGCCCTTCGTGTATCCTGTTTTATTGCCTTGCTCTTATCGCAACAGAACAAATCTCACAGTAACCCTTGCTCCTACCTTGACTACCATTGTTGACTTGTTTAAAAATTGCCCATGAGGGTAATGACACGTTGAACTGCATTACGTAGGTACACATGAATCCGGGTATTTCAATGACGCATCAATCGCGATACGGGTACCAGTATCGATCATGCGCATTCTTAGCCTAAATCCGTATTACTTTTATGGAGCTCAATTCAACAACAACAAAAAGCTTAACCACAATAATACAAAAATAGCTAAAACATCAAATAATCGTTTGTAAATATTGATTATTTTGCATTTTCCATTACGTTTGTTATCTGTAGAGTAGAATGACATCTTCCTTGATACGCTGCCAGGACATTCAGTACCAGTATCTAACAGGTGTCCTCTAGATGGCAGTACAGCTGAACTGTGAGACCAAACAGGTATCAGTGACTCATAACAGGTCCACACCTATGAATACCTTTAACCATGTGACGCAGATGCGTGTCACATGACAAACGTATGACAACAGTGAGTCACTTTGACCTTGTGAAATGTCCCGGAAATACTTGGGACTCCCCACCGGCCACTAGGACTGAAAGTGCTTGAATGACTGTCTTAAAACTTCATGCACTGCAGCTTTGCTTTCATTTTGACCTGACAAGGTTCAGAAGTGCAAAGGTCTGTGAGGTACACCAGAGTCATGCTTATATATATATATATGTATATGTCTGTGTATATGTGTATACATTATTTATTTATTTCTACACACATCAACACATTAGCAAGACATACTAAGTGCTATATATGTGTTGTTGTTGGTATTTCCCAAATTACAGAAATCACAAATATCCCCAGGGGATTAGCAGGAGCCAAACAATGACCGTCTGAGTCACGTCTGCAAATCTACAGTACAATCCCACATCCTCTGTTTCTGGATATGTGCAATTCATAAAACAATGAGATTGCTTCACAACACAAAGCATGAGTAGATAAATTCTCCTGGCAAAGATTAACTAATCTGACATAATGGGGAATTTGTAATGAGAGACAAAAAAACCCTGATGAGACACTGAAGGACCGAAGTGAGTGTACTACGTGTGGAAATCCGGCTTAATACCGCTATTTCACTCTTGTGTTAAATTGCCTACAAGAATTGGATTTTTGATAGCAACATTTAGTTGTAGTATGTATGAATATTCCTCTAATCAGTCTTCAGGACCAGAATATATTGTAGATTGGAGTTATAATTATATACAAACAATTTGGAGGGGGGGGGGTAAAACATGATAATTCAATGTTGCTGCCTTCCTTGTATTCTTTATAATAACAACAACCCATCCAGAATGAACTGCTTTTCATTGTTATCTCTTGTACTCAAGATTTGACTTCATACGTATAAAAGTAACAGAAGCACTGCAGGGTAACGCCACAAGGCTTTAAAAAAAAATACTGGTTCCTGCATTTGTTTTAAAGAGTTCCAGTTTAAGGGGACATGAAGGCAACTCGAGCGTTTCACAGTGCGGTTTAATGCAAGAGGTGCGTAAATATAAGTTAAGAATTAGAATTGAAGTTTCATTACTAATTTTTGATTTGTGGTGGTATGTTATATGCGTAAACTGCTATTTTAAGTATTTGGATTGCTGAACAATTTCGCAAACTGAAACGCAAACACTGTAAAGATGACATTATGACATCCTCACACGAATGTTCAAGTTTACGACTGTTTTGAACGCAGCACCAATGTTTCAAGTCCGGTAGTAAAAATCAAGAGTGGAAAAAAGTGGAATAAAGTTTAGTATGTTACGGTCTTCTGAACCGTTTGTACTGAAAGGCTGTAAAACCCATTGTCCCTCCTTATGACGGTCGAAGATGAGTCTTTTGAGAGCAGGCAGGCCTTGGTTTGACGAAGCTCAAAAAATTACGCGGGGAAGTTCCCTAGGAAATCCCCCCCGAACGGGGATATTACACTCGACACAGATCCGTCAAAATCTTCGACATAATCGGTCGGTTCAAGAGGGGAAGCAAAAGAGACGTCAAATGTATGATCAGTAAGAAATATTTCTGTCACTATCAACCATTTAACCTGCCATGGACAGCGTCGGTGTAAACGCAGACGGTAACGATGCGCCGAAGGACAAAAGCCGCAGTTTCAGCACACTGAACACTCTTTATCACGAGACTCAGCAGGAGATCGAGCTTCTCAACAAGCAACTAAACTTGAAGGATAACATCATCGCAGATCTAAAGGCAAGACTGGGCAGATATGAGAACCTCTACCTGACTGTGGGAGACCAGGAATCGGTGATGATCGGGCCCTCCAAGTCTCTGCTGGAGAGCCTGTGTAAAGAGATCTGCAAGCTGAAACAGAGGAGGAACGACCTGGAGTTCAAGACGTCCAGACAAGAGGAGGTAGATGTTTGGGTTTTTGTCCTCGTGGATGTTTGTTTCATTCACATGCTACAGCATTTACTACAACATGATGAAAACCCTAACGTATTTTTAGATTATTTTCTTACCTTTTTATTTATTTTTTTAAAAAAAGTTTTAGAAATTGTAGCAAAAGCAGAATAGTTTTCTGCACAAAAATACCATAATAAAAGGTGATTTTTATATGTTTAATAAACCAGGTGTTTTTGTTAATGTATTCTCAAGGCATGTGGTCAGGGAGATGCAAAACAGTACGTCTAGTAGGAAATTAAAAAAAAAAAACATGATCTGCTTAGAAAAAACCCAAGATCCACATTCAACTTTTAAATGTGTGCAATTTATAACACAAAAACATAACTAGTGACAGAGATTTTGAAAAATATTTCCCTTGAGGAAACAATAAACAGAACTACCAAAATGGGGAATTTGATCTGACACAGAAAATGTCCAAATGACATATTCAGGAACTGTGAAGAGTATGTGTTGAAGCAAAGTTCACTTCTTGCAAATGTTTGGGTGTTTTTATTATTTAAAAGTATACTTAAATATGTGACTCTGTAAAACATTGTACAGTAAATGTTCCATCATCAGTCATCATTTAGTTGAACAGTAAGAGAATATATACTTTGACCAATTTGAGATGAATATTCATTACCAGCAAAAATAATTTATTTAGTCAAAGTGTCAAAGGAGGAAGCCTCTGTGTTTCTATGATGATGTGATATGTAATTTATATTCAAGGTACAACTTTTTTTCCCCAAACCCTTCTGAAAATGTACACATATATTATCTACCTGTTAGTACCTGTTAGTACCACCTGCAAGATTTCTGAAAGCGTCTTTATACAAATCATATCAAGGCAGATGTTTTCCCTAAAGGGTCTATCAGTGTACGCAGAGGAATATCAGGAAATTAATTTGCTAAAAATGTTTGTCAGCCTTAACATATACACAGCGTTGTCCAGTGTTGGTGGACGTTCTTAGATTTAAGTGATTTTTTTTCTTAAAAAAAACTCTTACATGTATTGATATAATTCACACTTTTTTACACAGTAGACCATTTTGTCGCTCTGTCTTGTTTTAACATTGAATCCAGTGTCACATCAGCAGCATATCCAACAGAGCTGCCGCTGCTAACGCGCCTCATATCCTCTGTCCTTCAGGAGATCCAGAGGCTGAATGTGCAGCTCAGAGAGAAGGAGCTGGTGCTGGAGAGTGTCAGGTGTCAGCCAGACCACGAGAAGGACCAGGAGATCCAGAGGCTACGGTTAGCCCTGGAAGAGAGGGAGCGGACAGAGGCCACGAGAGCCGTGCTCTGCAGCTCCCTGGCGGAGGAGGCCGACAAGCTGCGAAGCCAGCTTAGTGCAACTGTG